ACAAAATAATTAGTACAAAAATTTATTATAATAAATAAAAATGTAATCAAAAATATTAAATTTTGAACCATTCAAAATGAACTACTAATAAAACAAATTGGGCTAATAAAAATTATTATAAAAATTAATTTTAACATTGTAAAATATTAAATGATTGAAAATAATCATTTCCATGAGTACGGATTATTGAAACAAGAATTGAAAGACCCAATGCACCTTCACAAACTCTAAAAGTTAAAAATATTATACTAAAAAATCTTCTAAAATTTATTAAATTTAAATAAATAAACAATAAAAAAAATAAATTTAATACAATATATTCCAATCTCAAAAGTATTGATAATAAATGCTTTCGATTAGAAACAAATATAAAAATTCCAATTAAAAATAAAAGACATGGTAATCCTCAATAAAATATTATTAACATTAGTTTTAATAGTTTAATAAAAACATTGGTCTTGTAAATCAAAAATAAGATTTAATCTTTTAAAATTTCAAGAGAAAAGTAATTACTTTTTCATTAATCCCCAAAATTAATATTTTATATAAACTACCTCCTGATATTATACAATTAATTTTATATAGATCAACTTTAATTTCAAGATTTATTTTCATACAAATAAATCACCCTTTAGCTATAGGATTAATACTATTAATTCAAACTTTACAAATTTGCTTAATTACAGGATTAATAGCTAAAAGATTCTGATTTTCTTATATTTTATTTCCAATTTTTCTTGGAGGGATATTAGTTTTATTTATTTATGTTACATCCTTAGCTTCAAATGAAATATTTTCATTTTCAATAAAATTAACAACTATTTGTTTAATAATCTTTATTTTATTTATAATTTTAAGATTAATATTAGATAAATCATTAACTTTAACCTTTCTAGAAAATAATGAAGAAGATGAAACGGTGGAACACTTTTTGTGCTTCTTGCTTGCTTGGTTATTTGTCATCGGGTTTTTTTTCATTCGGTCTTTTCTCTATTGTCAGTTTCTAAATTAAAAGTTTGGCGTAAAAAGCTTAGCCATTTTTAAGTTTTAGTTTTGTGTTTTAAAAATGTGATGAATATTTTTCGCCTCACTTTAAAACTCGGAGCGATAATAATAGAAATGATGCTATTAACACAAATAAACTATTTTGCGNGATGTTTAAGTTTTGTGTTTTAAAAATGTGATGAATATTTTTCGCCTCACTTTAAAACTCGGAGCGATAATAATAAAAATGATGCTATTAACACAAATAAACTATTTTGCGTATACTCCACGTGCAAAGTCATGAGTGAGCCGAACATTTGATGAGTTTATGGTAACGATAGTGTACATAACGCTAGCGCTCTACGAGATCTATTTTTTAAAATTTACAAGTGTGTATTCACATTATTTTTATAAACAGAACACAAGAAAATATTTTATTTTTATTTTGGCCACTCTGAGCTTAGGTTTTGAATTCACCCGCGATGTAAATCGTAATCTTTTTACGAGCTTTGGGAATATTTAGAAAGGTATCAGCAGGGGGTCCACGCAAACCAGTAAATTTTTGAAAGGGGTCTACGAGAAAAAAAAAGTTTGGGAACCTATGGTATGTGGTTTCAAAAATATTTTCAAATGTATTTGTATTTTCAAAGCAAGCATTTTGTATTTCAAAGTCTTTTTAAATATTATTTTACAAGTATTTTTAATATCTCTTATACATATGTATTATATGTTTTTTTTCGGACGATACAGTATATTCCGTTTAGCTGCCTATTCGCTTAGGNATGGTATGTGATTTCAAAAATATTTTCAAATGTATTTGTATTTTCAAAGCAAGCATTTTGTATTTCAAAGTCTTTTTAAATATTATTTTACAAGTATTTTTAATATCTCTTATACATATGTATTATATGTTTTTTTTCGGACGATACAGTATATTCCGTTTAGCTGCCTATTCGCTTAGGTGCATTTTCCGCTTACGGGCACAATTTTGCCAAAATACTGATTTATGAAATGGATTTTGTACGCAAATTTCACTTGCAGCTGCATTTTCGGTAAGCAGCCCTTTTCCGTTAAATNTCGGACGATACAGTATATTCCGTTTAGCTGCCTATTCGCTTAGGTGCATTTTCCGCTTACGGGCACAATTTTGCCAAAATACTGATTCATGAAATGGATTTTGTACGAAAATTTCACTTGCAGCTGCATTTTCGGTAAGCAGCCCTTTTCCGTTAAATAGCCCTTTTTTGAGTAAGTTTTCTTCGATTTGTACCAAAAATACTTCGCTTACCAGCACTAAATTGTTTTCGAAAGCTCTTTTGCTTGAAACATTTCTATCCCTTTCAATACCTGAAAAACTACCCATAAACGCATGCTATGATACTCTCTTTTGAAGTTTACCACATGATCGCATGCATATATACATACATATGTAAGTAGTAGCATTTAGAATATTTGAACAGAAATGGGCTACGAGTTTTTCCGCTTAGTTGGACATTTCGCTTAAGTGCACCAAATCCTGTGCANGAACAGAAATGGGCTACGAACCCATCTATCTCAAACAAATAAATTTTTTGTTTTTCCGCTTAGTTGGACATTTCGCTTAAGTGCACCAAATCCTGTGCAGTGGAAGTAAATGCAGCTAAATGCAACGTTTTGTTCTTCTTAACCTACTTCAACAAAAGCGTTCCTCTCGATTTGTGCTTATACATAGTACAACGCCTATAAATACTAATCGTTAATCACTCGCGTAAAGTACCAAACGCCAAAATTGCCACCCTCGTCTTCCTATTCAGCCATACTTACCCATCCGATGCTCACTAGCATTCCCTCTGCCATGAAAAATTCTTTGAGTTCGTTTCTTAATGCCACACTGTGCAAAGCAACAAAAGGTCACGCTTACGATCAATAAAACCCAAGCACAAATCATGCAAGTAATAACAGTGGAATTCCGGCGGTAGCCGTACGAGGAGAGGTAGCCCTCATCGTTAACCAGCAAAAGGACGGAGTCGGTGTCATTGTTCAGATGAAAATCTAGTGCTGATATATTTCGTTCACCGTTGCTATGCTCTGCATTGGAAAACATGGACGCACTAGCCAAAGCTGTGGTGAACAGCGGATGGAACTGCTCAAGCCTAAGGTAAGTACGCGTCGTAGTCTCGCTAAACATTCTGGATTTCTCGTCTAAAGCTGATTGTTACAACCACTGTGCTCGGTATTTGGTAAACAAACCACATTAAGCGAGTAAAAAACGCGTATAATTAAATTTCCGACGTTTTGAAATATCTGAGTAATTTACATGTGCGGTAGTTTTTTTTATTTAATCACTAGCGAATGTCTTGGCCTCTAGCTTACACGATCACTGAGATCTCATTGTTTTATCTGTCTATCTTTATGATCAGGTGTTTAAAGTTTAAACTGATATTTTGTCATTTGTTTAAACTCGAGACGATTGTACTCCACGAGAGCCGGAGATACATAATTAAACCAACTCAACGAGAAAATGAGTTGGAGCACATGGACATACATATACGCATATACATTGATGTTTGTATAAAAAATGCAGCTTAATAAAGCTTTATTTTAGCTGTTAATTAATTCATACTAAATAATGTGTGTGAATGTGAGTTAGAGGTGTCGATATATTACACCGGTCAACAACTTAAAAAAATCTTGTTGCCGAGATATCGTTAGTGGTTTGTTATTAGGTATGCATTGACAACACGTGTAGTTTTGGATTTAACGTCATTTTTTTTGTTTGTAATCAAAAATTTCGTATGCGCATTTTGAAGTCTTACNTCGGTCAACAACTTAAAAAAATCTTGTTGCCGAGATATCGTTAGTGGTTTGTTATTAGATATGCATTGACAACACGTGTAGTTTTGGATTTAACGTCATTTTTTTTTTGTTTGTAATCAAAAATTTCGTATGCGCTTTTTGAAGTCTTACAGGTACTTTTCTATGTATAAACAAATTGATTTTAATATGTTTCATGTCATTAGCGCGTTGAAGTTTTAAATGGGCAAAATAAATTTCGTACAGCTCTGAGACCCTATACCCAATTTTATGAAAAGAGCTTAATTTTTGGACTCAAATCGAACATTCTGGATGAATAAAAACCGTGCATACTCTAAATTGTCTGTAAACGGTGTTGTGAGCACTTGAGCCAGCGGGTCAGTGGTCAAAGATCCGTATGAGTTCGGAGTGACTATGCAATGGAAACAACAGGAAAATCACGTTGATGATTGTTACTCCCGCTCTGTGAACTTGCTTGGAGTTAACTCTAAAATTATTTGTCCGGAATTAGAATCGCCTAGTAAACCCATACTAATGCAGAAGAAGTACCTGTTCCAACATGTGAGCCAACATGTGAGCCATCGTACGAAGAAATCTCCAACGAAGAGATCAGTGACAGTAATTACGAAGGAATAGAGTTTACAAAACCAAAACCTTTCACCCAATAGTAATTATATGATTTGATAAGGGATCTTAAGTCATATAAAAAATTTGCAGTAGTATTCGCTTTTAGATTAAAAGAAGAAAACTTGCTGACGTTAGGTACAAAAGTTACGTTCTATCGTATGAGAGAGTCTGATTTCATAAAATTTGTTCATTCGGAAAAGGATAATGTTTTTTGTTCAGATGCACAAGGCCGTATTCTAGAAATGTGTCCTTCGGAATATCATACCGTTCCCATTGCTCATTAAAAACACTAAAAGAGTACTACGAAAAATTTGCATTTGTGTTAGACAAAATCAGCAGCCACGAGGGAGCTGCAATTTCAACTATCTGACGATGGCAGCTTCATGCAGGTATTCTTGGGAAGATCCATCCAGAAAGTTCTAAGTGATAATCCCCTATCGCAAAGATCGGGCAAATGGGATCCCTGCACTTGGTAGCTAATAAGGACACTGCAATATGATCTGGCCGCTACTATTTGCTGGCCAAAAGTAATTTTTTAAAGTATCGATAAATCGATTTTTTTTTGTCCCTTCACTAAACTAATTCTACAGAGTAAAAAAGTACTTACTCATTATTTTCTGCAAGAGTTTTCCCGTTGAGATATTAGCTGTTGAAGTTGACATTTATACTAAAAGTTTATATATTTTTTTCTTGGTATAAGTCTTCGAGGGAGGAAGATACATCAATAAATAGAATGGAAATTAATAACAAAGGTAAGATTTGTGTGATTAACAAAAAAGAAAACTAACACATAGCTTGCTAAATAAAATAAAACTCATTTTCAATATGGACTCTAATTTGAGTAATAACATTCCAATTTAAGTAGAGGTATAAAAAAATGTGTTCATTTGGCAGTCTTCAAGGTTTGTGGGCGATAAAAGTGCTCAATTTAGAGTTTGTTCACTTTTTTGCATTTTTGAAAACTTCTACGTGTGTTTTGCCATGCTTTTCGATGTTTGAAAAGCAGCAGTCAACAAAGGTGCAAAAAAAACTGCTCTTTTAAAAGTTTTGCTGCGTAATGTTATCAGAGGGAGCACGAGGATTATAACAACTACATAAAGGAAAGAGCGAGAATTATATGCCAGTACGTTGGTGAAAAATGCATTCTTGCTTTTTTTTGTTTAAACTTGCACGTTATTTTTTCAACTTTAATGCAGCCTAATTATTAGTAATATACTTGTTGTGCTAGTGTCCTGTCAAATAAATACAAATATAAGCTTATATCTAAAGGAAAAAGTTTTTATTTGAAGCAGCTATGATTAGAAAAAAATATATAGCAAAATCAAAACTAATTTTGTAAACTAAAAATTTTTCCGATAACGTCATATTGGATTCGCCATTTTCATTTTCAAAAATCTGACCTCAGATTTTAAATAATCGCATTCGAAAACCCCCCTTATATATACGTTTTTGGTGAAAGAGAAAAAATTATAAAATTTTTATATTGGATCCGCCATTTTAAATTTAAGAAAATCTGCTATCAGATTCGAAATCAGTGCCCTCTAAAACTCCCCATTTATATGAGTTTGTGCTGAAAAGGAAAAAAATTTAAAATTTGGTCGCCATATTGGATCCACCATTTTAAGCTCCAAAAATCTTACATCAGATTCGAAACCACCGACCTTGAAAACCCCGCCATGTATAAGTTTTTGATGATATTGATATTGTATCCGCCATTTTGAATTTCCAAAATCAGATATTATATTCGAAATCAGTGACCTCAAAAGCCCCCTAAACACTAAGGTTCAAGTCAATTTTGTTACTTCTCGACTTTTGGCCAGCAAACGATATTCGCCAGTATACTGGTACACAGACACTTCAATGATGGAGGACAGATCAGGTGCAGGTATTTTTGGACCTAGCACCAAAATTGCAATTTCCATGGGAAAGCGGTGTTTCAGGCTGAAATAGTCTTAATTGTAAACTGCGAAAAATGAAAGGATTTGAAGGGCGCCTTTCTAGTTATCTTTTCAGATAGCCAAGCAGCCAGACGGGCCCTTTCAAACAGAACTATGAAATCCAAGCTGGCAAGAGACTGCTTTGACACGGTAAAAATTTTGGCAGCCGAAAACATGGTAACACTGTGTTGTGTACCCGGCCATTGTGGAATCAAAAACAATGAGGTCGCCGCGAAGGATCGCTAACTGCCTTTTCGGGACCTGAACCATTCTGTGGTCTCAGTTGTTCCTCTTCGAGATCCATAATTCGTGAGTGGATACACTCTGAACGCAGTAAGTACTGGGGAGCGGTGGAGGCCATAGACAGTTCAGGCTCTTCGGCTACCCTTTCTACAAAAATGATCACAAAGATAGATAAATTTTAAAGCTTCAACGGTTGAACCCTTTGTTATAAAGAACTCGTCTACCAATGCGATTTTAGGATTCATCGTGGAAGATGAAGGTATCTTGGCCACACTGGGTTACGAACTCTCCCTTTAAACTTTAAAATTTTCTCACCTTTTTCCTTTATTTTAGAACCGAACATGAAAAGAAACAAGTAATTTTTAGCAAAAAAAACCGACTTCAACTCCCATATAAAAAAAAAATATATATATATATATCTCATGATCCACTGATCGGATCTCAACCAGATTAGTATGGAACCTCCTCTGAGACACTACCTTTCCGATGCAAAAAGAATTAGAAATCGGTTGACGTGGTCCAAAGTTATGCGGTAACATACATAAAAAAAAAAAAAAAAGATTCCGACGAACTGATAACCTCCTCCTTTTTTGGAAGTCGGTTAAAAAGTAAGTGCGCCTGGGCCGCACTAGAGAAGTGAAACTTACGTTACATACATATCTACCTTGTCTCATAACCAGTATACATACATATGTACCAGTGATGGGCAAAATTGTATTTACTAAGTATTTAGCAGGCGCTAAATACTATGGTCCAAAGTACTCAGGTACCTTGGGGATGCAAAATACTTTCACTAAAGTACCAAGGTATTTAGTCGATGGCTAAATACTCTAAGACTAAATACTGTATAATTTAGGAAAAATTTAGAGAATTAACACCTCACCTTACACTCACCTCTACTTACTTTACCGCAACTCACTTCACCTCTCCTCAAATCAACTCACCACACCTCAATTTGGGAACTGTTTCGGGATTTTAGAGATTCTTCAGACTAAATCAGAATTTTCAAGACCATTTCGGGATTTTGGGGACTATTTCGGGATTTTCGAAGCTATTTCGTAATTTTTTATGGATTCTCGGAAACTTTGTTTGAGATTTTGGGATTCTCGGAACTAATATCGGAATTTTCTAGACTACGTCGGGACTATTTACGGATTTTTGGGACTTATTTCGGACTTTCTGGACTGCTTCGAGTTTTTTGGGACTTTCGAGATTCTCGAAACGAAAATCCGTATTTTGGGGACTAATTTCAGGATTTTTGTGACTTTCGGTATTTCTAGGACTTGGGACTATTTTTGGATTTTTGGCACTCATTTTGATATGTTGGGACTTTCGATACTATTTAGGGATTACCGGGAGTAATTTCGGTATTTTTGGGACTTCCGGCACTATTTTCAGATTTTTGGGACTTCCGGCACTATTTCGGGATTCTCGGGACTAATTTCGCATTTTCGAGAGTATTTCAGGATTTTTGGGACTTTTGTGACTTATTTTTAGATTTCGGGATTTTAGGGACTAATTTAGGAACTATGGGACTTTCAGAACTATTTTAGGATTTTTGGGACTTTCGGGACTATTTCGTAATTCTCGGACTGATTTCGGTATTTTTGGGACTAATTTTGGAATTTTTGGGGCTTTCGGGAGTATATCGATTTTTTTTGATCTTTTTTAGATTTCTGAGACTTTCGGAACCATTTAAGGGGTTTCAGGAGTATTTCGGGATTTTTGGATCTAATTTCGGATTTTGGAGACATTCGGGACTAT